CTCATAGTCGTGCATGCTGTAGTCGTTAGATCATTGACCTCGCATCCTTATCACAACAGGGCGCAGGCGGGGGGTGTCAAAGGCTGAATCAGCGGAAACTATCAGCTTGATGGCCACACAATTGAACGCGCCAAATCTCAAGTTTCGAATGGTAAACCAACAACGCAAAACTTTATATCACAGGCTCTCGGTGAAAACCCCAGCGATTCCAGGTAATTCTCCCCATCTTCCACTCGGCATTACGCCTGAAAGAAAAGCACTCTGCCCATTTAAGACACGCCAAGGACTGTCATCCCGCCCCCCCCATCGCCGGGCGCGCCTGCCTAGTAACAACTTCACCCCCGCGCATCGCGCTCGCCTGCACAAGCCACATCAGACAGAAACACGGCCCCACCTTTGCTTCTGTTCCTGCTTGGCCTTCTTGTTGGAAGCCGCTTTCAGCTTAGCCAGGGCCTTTTCCACCGTCACTCCGTTCGCCAGCGACACCCGCAACCCCCCTCGCCAACTTTTCCTATCAGTAAGCTCGGTCACAGCCTTCCCGGGTCGCAGTGAGCGGGAGGGAAGGCGAGGGGACGCAGGCAAGAGAAGCGCGTCCATTCAAGGCCGAACACATACCGACGCCATCGCCTATCGCCTGTCTAGGCAACTCGACACAACACAATCGACCTGTTGGACTTGTGGACGAGAGGCCACTTCAAGCTTTCAGATTAGATAAGGAGATTAGGCTTCGCTAGTTGAAGAAGGCGTAACAGGAACCGTATTCTCAAGTGTGAACTGTTGTTCGTGACACATGTGTGGGAATAGGGAATCGTTGTCGACATGGCACATGCTGCTCGGATCAAAGGTAATCTTGACATGCATCTTATGTTCTTGCGGATGCCAAGTCATGTGACTCCCGGTGATATCTATCGTCTCCGCTACCTACACGTACCAGGCTATCAAGACAGAAAAAGGGGCGTGTGAGGTCCAACCACAGAACAAAAACACAAGCACCGCAACACTACAAAAAAGTGTAGCAATCAATCTCACCCTGATGGCCTCTTCAAGGGTGGAGTATTGGCAAGTCGCGTAAAGATCTCGGTTCGGTCCCAACGGCGCCTGAATTTCTGAGCTCCTACATTGGTACGAGAGAGAGATAGAGAGAGAGGCGGGGGCAGTACAAAGCAATAGTCAAGGATAGGTGGCGGTAATTGAAACAGTCTTGCGAGAGCACGGACACAACATTCTTGTAAAGGATTGTGTCGTGCACGAATATACACTCATCAGCAACACGATAGCACAAGGAGCATCCACTTGCAAGACTCAAAAGCGTGGCGTTGCACGCCGCGAAAAAAAAACATGGCGACAGCAGTGCGAAGGCGACGTTGTCTGGCTACGAGCGAATAAACCGCATCCCATCTTTACGGCCACCCACCAACCACTAAGGGAACGACAAAAATAGGGAGGAGTCATCACGACGGCGTCTGGGCAATGAATACAGTGGACGGAAAGTCCTGCGTCACCCCTGCCGTCCTCTCTTGTCTCACTTATCAGTCTTGGTCGTCCCCGGCGACTTGTTCTTATGGATCACGGCCTAGTCGAGGCGGTGGGGTGTCCTGCTTTTCTTTCCGCAGTCCCTGTCCACCGTCGACTCCGCGGGAATGTTCACGGCCTGTCATGTCGCGAAAGCGTGGGCGGCAGGGTGGTTTTTTAGTTCGTGCATGACGAGCGCGAACGAGCACCCAGGTGAAAAAAGACTCCGACAGCGCGCAGAGATGCATCCACGCCCTTTCCGCCCGAAGATGTTACCAATCAAGTCGGTCAGGAGCCATTCCGAGTCCTCCGTGGGCCTGCAGAAGGACCGCCGCTGTTGTTCTGATGTTGGACTCCAACAACGCGCAACCAGCCTACGGAATATATCACACCCAAACGAGATACGGCACCCCCCGCACAATACAGCACCCGGTGATCGTTTCAAAAAAGCCAAAAGGCTATCCCCGGGGTGTGTTACGTCGTGTTGAGTAAGGTGAATGCGTGCCACTCTTGGAAACAACGTCGTACGATTGAGGGCAAAGGCCCTGCTGTTTGGACGACCCTTGAGTTTTTCGGCAAACCCCCCACCGCCCCCCCCACCCCCCACCCCCCACCCCCCCTCTCTTGTCTTGCTGTCTCTCACCACAACTGTCCGGGAGGTGACGTCAGCCATGCCGTCCTTGTCTGGAAACTTGAAAGGCGTCTGCGGGAGGAGGACGACACACGGATACAAATTTGTAAGCGAAGCCGGAAAAGAAAAACGGCCAAGAACGCGCTCTCGGAAAAACCTGTTCCGTGGATGGAAAAGCAGCAGTGCAACACTGGAAACCCTGGCTCGAGAACCAGAACATTCTAACACTACACAGCTGACAACAACGAGGAAGAAAGCCGGGGTTCCTCAGCAAGCGCGAAAAATCGCAAAAGGTTAGCGAGACAAAAGCCAGCAGTGCAGCCACGGCAGTAAACTCCATCTTGTCGGCCGCCTCACTGCCCCACGATGCAGTCATACCTTACGCCTTACGCGGGTCGCCTTAGCCACCACCAGAGCCTGGGAATCCTCCAGGGCTAGGGCAATCGCGCGAATGTCCTTCGACAGCTTCTTCACCTTCGGGAAGCTACAGATCACCTTGAGCGGCACCCAGCCTATGATATCCCCCCAGGCAAAGAAAAAACAAGCGAATAGTTGAGAGGAGGGGGGGGGGGGGGGGG